CCTCCATCTGTCTGACCAGGGTACTCACCTTCTTGGTTGTGCTAAACTCATACACCACTTCTTTCTCCTGGTCTCTCATGACGGGCTTTTTGGAGATATTCCCCACATACACATGGCTACGGATGACGGGTAACAGGTCGAAAGATGACTCCCCAATTTTCTTCAGCGCATTGGCTATGGCTTTGTCTTGTGACTCCAAGGTCTCTTTGGGGTTTAAAGGCAATTGTGGAACTGTACCGACAGCTGGGAAGGAAGAGTTTCTTTCCCCATTTGCTGGTACCACCTCACTTTGGCGGACGTTCTTCCGGAGGTTTCGGCTGGTTCCTTCTGTCCTGGCTTCCCGGGTCTCCGACTCTGGGGACCCACTGTCCAGGCGTAACCTTTTAGCACTCCGCAGTGTAGTTGTGGACAACGTCCTCTTCCCGCTGGGCTCCCTTGGAGCCTCTGAGTCTCTGGACTTCTCTTGACTAGAGTCACCACCGGCGCTGGCCCCCGTCTTCACAAAAGCAGTCGATGTAGAGGTGATGGCTTTGAACTTGGCGATGGCCCCAACGGGTCCAGGCAGACTGGTGCAGTCAGCAGGCTGGCCTCTGCTGAGCTGGATGTTCCCTTTGAGGATGTTGAGGGTCCGAGCCCTAGCTGACAGCTCTGGGTACATGGTGTCGAGGATTTTAACGGAGTTCTCCTGGGCTCCCCCGGCAGCAGCTGGGCCTGGTGCCCCTGGGGGAAGGCGGCCGGGTACAGGAAGTGCATGCTTTGGGGTTGCAGCACAAAACTGCAGAGGGGAGGCTAGTGCCCTCTCACTGCCTGGCGCCGTGGACGGCGACAGAGAAGTGCAGGGAGGAGAGGCCAGCCCGGCGCCCTCCTGCAGGGGTGACGTCATGGGAGACACAGGTGCGTCGTCTAAGGGAGAGCTGGGGCCAAGAGGAGAGGCTGGAGAACAAGGGCTGCAAGTGGACATGAGCGGAGAGACTGGCCGCAGAGTCCTGGGCGGTGTCGCGATCAGGGGGGCCAGCAGCGGGGGAAGAGGGGGGCCCACCTCCTGCCGTATTTTGTTCAGTGTGTCGGTGGGACCCTCGGGAGGAGTCGAGGTATCGGCACTGGCTAGGACAGCTTGAGTTTGGCTTCTCTGAGTGTCAGAAGTGCCCCTTTCTCCTGACGATAACTGGGACGCTTCACTCTGCCCACTGTCAACGGTGCTTGGCGCTGAAGCCTTTGCCGGCCTGGCTGATGGCTCTTTGTTGGGGAGTTTTGATCGGTTCTTACTTTTGCCACAAGGCTCGAGTCTGGAGTTGTAGTACGTGTGATCGGATGCAACCAGAACCTCAAAATCCTGACTGTATATCTGAGAACTAATCCGCACACTGGGTCTCACGGGTCTGTTCCGCAGGCGACTTTTATCGAAGTTGGCACTTGGACTGCTACTGGAAGCGTCCTCCCGGGAACCTGAGGGGTGGCGGTTACCCTGAGGCCTCAGCATCGCAGGGCCTGTCATCAGAGCCATCTCTGGGGATTTGTCTACTGAGGTCACCGCAACAGAACCAGCTTCCAGTCCTTTCTGAGCTGGAGCCATTCCGGTGTCCCCAGGGCTGTCCGGCAATAGGACATGGTCTACACTGGACACAAGTGCCACGCCGTTCATGATGGTCCACTTGTCCCCACTTCTGATCATCAGGTTATGGTCCTTGGGGAGGAGCATATCGATGGTTTCTGAAGGCGCTGTGGGTGCCCGATGCGGAAACCCATGAGCGTTCTGCTCCGGCTCCTCCTCCCCACCAGCCGCCTGCCCCGCTGTGTCTGTCGCAGCCTCAGGTGCGCTGTGAAGGCTTTCATGACCCGATGCCGCACTCCCAGTGCCGGGGTCTGCCCGTGGGGAGGAGTGAGCTGCTTCCTGAGGTAGGGCTTGCTCCTGAAAGTGTTCAGCAGCCACGGTGTCAGGGGAGTCTAGCAGCAGCAAGTCCCCAGCATCACTCGCAGTAGAATCTTCAAAATGTGCACGCAGCTCAGGGTCCATGTTGGTGAGGACCTCAGACAGTGTTTCCAGTGCGCACTCGGGGAGTGGACTTGTGTTTCCCAATGGAAAGACCTCCTCGGGCACCTCCGACTCTTGGGAGGCGTCGGCAGCTTCCTCCTCACCGGGTTGCTTCCTGTACTGCTCTCCAGAACCCTGGCTTTCCTTCAATCCTTGACTCACTTCCGTAGGAGGGGCGCCTTTGCTAGAACATTCTGACACGGAGTCCCCTGAGCTAAAATCCCTCAGCTGGCAGCTCTCAAGGAAGCTGACCACCTCTGAGGTAGAAAGCGTGTCTATCTCCGAGAAAGCACTTATGTTCACATCCTGTAGAGCCGAGGTCAGGTGGCCCACCTCCAGGCCCGGCCACGTCTCAGCTGCGCCAGTGTCTGCCAAGTCAGGTGTGGGGCCGCCCCCCTCCATGGGTCCACCCTCACTTTCAGCCTCACTGCCCGTGAACGCCTCACTCTCCTCCACTTCAGTGTCGTCCCCGGGCCCCTCACGGCGGCCTGTGTAGCCATACGGGGCATCGGGCAGTTGACTGTGTGTAAGCGCGGGCAGCTCATTGTTTTTTCTGAAAAGCGCTGAGGGGGAAGCTGTACCCGTGGAGGCAAAACCGTCAGCAAAAGCACTGCTCGGAGTTCTGGATTTCGGCTTCTCAAGTTCATCACAGGTCTGGGGTGTGTGAGGAGAGCCTCGTGCCACTGCCAGGGCCTCGTTCTGCGAGCGCCCCGAGTCTCCACATGGCACGTCCTCTGCAGACAGGGCTCTCGGCACCATCCTTGGAGCTGGAGTCGCTGGAAGCTGGTCCACGTCCATCCTGAGTGCCCCCGGGTCCACAGGAGGGAGCGGCGGCCTCTGCTTCCCCAGCTCCTCGTGGCCATGTTGGAGCTGAACTGGGATGCTGCCGGAAGAGAAAGACAATCCACTGTTTGTGGAACAAGGAGAATGCTCTCCTGGTGAAACACTACCTGAAGAATCGGAACCAAACGCTCCCTGAGGGGTGGAACCTCCTGGCGAAGTCCTTGCAGCGGCTGCCGCGACTGTCGGGGCTGCATGGCCCCCGTCCCCGCCCCGATCGGCCCCAGTCCTGAGATGGTCTGTTGCTAACGGGGCCTCGCTCCTGTGCAGCTGGAGGGGCCCCGGTGCTGCCGTTGGCATCTTGTCTGCTTTGGCCTGTTTGGTGATGACAGACACTTGGTTTGGCAGCACTGACGCAGCCCTGGCCAGGACAGGACTGCTGGGTTCTGTAGGAAGGTTGAGTCTGGTTGCTGACTCCCTCGTTTCTGGTGATGGTGCGGCTTTGTGTAGGTGACGACCAGTCTCCTGAGCCTGTTCTGGCTCAGCTCTCAGTCTCCCTTCCCCATTCGTCCTCAGGAATTCATCTCTATGCCAGGAAGCGCTCTGAGCCACGCCAAAGCTGCCTGGCACCCAGCCTGCTTGTGGGGCGGGCAGCAGCCGACTTCCCAGCTCTTGGCTCTCACACGGGCCATCTTTTGTCACGTTCATAAATACTGACTGAGGAAACGAAGAGCCCCCTCTCACGACGTCTGCACACTGAGCGCTGAAGGTGGGCACACCCAGCACGGGGCTCAGAGAGTGGGAGCTGCTCTCCACTTGGTCCCCCAGCACCGAGCACCTGGGCGCCATCGTGGACGACAGACTGCCACGACTGGGTGCTGCTACCAAGGCGGGACTTGGCTGCCCATGAGGCACCCGGAAGAAGGCTCTTCTTCTGGATGGAGCACGCGCGTCATCGTCGGAGGAGGACTGGGGACCACTGCCGAGGGACAAGGCTCCGGAGGTAGAGGAGGGTGACAAGCCGGTGTCCAGGCTCTCCTCCTCTGAGGTGAATCCTCGCCGACCTCGCCGACCCCTTTCCAGCTCCCGGGACACTCTGTGGAAGAGCTCGGAGATGGCCCGCACACGGTCAGACTCGAAGGCCAGCTCCTCCGCCAGGGCACGCCTGGTGAACCCTGCCGGGGGTGACCCTAGTATCTTGGAAAACAGGGATCTTCCCCCACATTCAAAGAGATCCAGTAATGGCCTCGTGCTGAGCGGCGATGAAGAGCAAGCTGGCCGCCCCACGGGCCTGGGGGCGGGCTCCTCTGTCTGCACACACTTGTCCACCTCCCGAACCTCAGTAGCCTCTCGGTTTGGAACATTCTGGAAGGGAGATGACAGGCCTTGGGGCTGCTCACTGGACCAGAAGCATGGGCTTGGTGTGGCTGGCAGGGCCATGCGGGGAGCCTGGAGGACTTCGTGGGGCTGTTGGAACAGGGTTCCGCTGCTCTTATTTCTTATGAACGAGCCAAAGTAGCTCTGAGAAGCAGCTGCGTCATCTTCTGCAGCAGAGCCGGCTGTGTGGTGACGTTGAACCCCATCGTCCTCACTGGAGTCTGTATCCTCACCAAAGCAGGACTCCTGCAAAGAACGCAGCAGAGGGAGCGTTACTGCCATGGAGAAGTGGCTTCTGGGAAAGGTCGACATCACACAGCAGAGGACAAGGACTTGGAGCCTCTGGACTCTCTACTGATGCGCTGAGTCTCCACCCTCCTCTCCTCCTGATGGCGCCATGGGTAGAGAGCTGGGCTGCTAATGGAAAGGTCAGCAGTTCAAACCCACCAGCCACTCCTTGGAAGATTGCAGCAGTCTGCTTCCGTAAAGATTTACAGCCTCGGAAATCCTGGAGGCAGCTCTCCTCTGTCCTAAGGGTGGCTCTGAGTCCCCACAGACTGATGGCAGTAGGTCTGGATTTGGGGGCTTTCCCCACAAGTCTTCTGAGCTCCACTGAGCACACCTGGTTCTCCGAAAATTCGAGCAGCCCTAGTCTAAACACTGAGGATCGGGCCCTACAGTCACTCTGGACAGATCCCGTGGACACACCTCATCATGTAGCTACTCCTTCATCTCCACCTGCGCTCACTCCTCCTCCCGTCCCACCCTCTTCTGCTCCCTCATCGCCTGTCCTTCAAAGACCAGCCCCTCCCACCAGGCTCTTACATGAACTTGACCTCACCTCCCAGCTCTATAAGACAAGCGGTGCAGAGGGGACATGAAGAACTGCTGCAGTCCTCGCACGGTGGTCGTCTACTCTGGGCACGCCCCCCGTTCCTCTCCTCCAGGGCTCCCAGGATCTGCCTCGGCCCCACCCTCTCTCCTCCCCAGAGTCCCTCCAACATGACAGCTGTGTATCTGAGCTGTGCCCTGCCATGTCCCACCTGAAGACCTCCCTATACACACTCTCTGTGTCGGTAGGCATCTGAGGCCTCCATCCTCCAGAACAAGCATCTCTAGAGGGCCACCAAGGGGGTTCACCCAATGGCCCAGTGTTGTTCTAACCAGCCCCCAGGAACTGCCTGGGTCCCCGCCCGGCAGCCTCACTGCGATGAAACCCACATTTCCACATGAAAATCTGAGTGTTCTGTCCATCTGTCTTTGACTCTGAAACCACCCTGCTGGTACGCACGTGGCCTTTCCTGATCGTACCTGCTGTCTCGGCTCCAAAGCTTGGCACCAAACATGCCTCCCGCAGAACCTAGCTCTTCCTACACCAGTTCCTTCCCTTCATGCCATCCCCAACACCTGTCCACACACAGATGTCCCCGCACTGCAAAAAGCCACCTCTGCGCTCCCCACACCAAGCACAGCGTCTGGACATGTTCTTCTTCTAGGGCGAACCCCAAGAGCAAGGCATCCATCTGCCCTAGTGCCAAAAAGAGCACCAACGATTCCTCAAGAAAACTTGCTAAGGAACGCTACAAATTGCTTTACAACCACATGGAAAGAGGGTGACCTCATCAAATGATGGTACAGAGCCCGGTCCGTTACAGTACAGGGCACAGGTGCTGCATACGTGGGTTTCCTGTGTCTGTAAAACTCGACACCAACAAAGACACCTTCCATTCATTTGCGTCACAGTTAACACGAGTCAGGTGGTAGAGGCCAGGGCAAGGAAAACAGAGTTAGTCTCCAGGGTAACAAGCCACCACCGCACAGGACAATTACCATTTGGTTGTGGTGAAGATTTTAAAAACTACACACAGCATAACGCAGAGCAGTAAAAAGGGACCAACACAAATATTGTGATTGTTTAGTGCCACCTGGTTAGTTTCACTCCCAGTGACTCGACTCGGTAAAGCAGGGAGGGGAACGCCAGGCCCATGGCTGTAAAAGGCCCTTGAAATCCTTTGGTCTAACCCTGCCAAGGTAACTGCATTCCAACCAACACATTCAACAATGTTGTCAAGTGCCGACGAGTCGGTGCCGACCCATAGTGACCCTGTATAGGGTTTCCAAGGAGCAGCTGGTGAGCTTGAACCGCCGACCTTGCAGTTCAAACGGCTTTGCAGTCTGGCGCATTAACCCACAGCGCCATCTCAGGGCTCCAAAGTCATCACATTAGGGGTAAGTTAAATCAATTTCTGACCTAACAGCAGGTTAATTTTTAAGTTGATTAAATTTGTATGGCCCACGAATGATGTTATAAATGTTGGCAGAAAAAAGGTTCCCAAGGAGCAGCTAGTGGGTTTGAACCTCCAACCTTGTGGTCAGCAGCTCAATGCTTACCCTGCAGAACCACTAGGGGGCTTCAAAAAAGAAAATGCATGGAAAAATTCCATCTCCACAAACTTTCTGAAGCTCACTAATTTTCTGGGGCCCATAGGCAACTGGCCAGTGTGTTTACATGCTCACGTTAACCTGTAGCTAAGGTGGTCAAGGTGCTATCCCTGGATTATTCCGATCTTCCTAGGACAGACAGCACACCCACTTGGGAAACCACATTTTAAGCTCAGAACTCACGGGTGCGAGTGGAGAAGGGTCGGGTTCCGGGTGTGGCAGGGAGGCCGGTGGGGGCGGGGGTGAGGGCACTGGAGACAGGAGAGGAGGGGGAAGCTTGAAGAAGTCAATGGCAGCTTGTAGGTCTTCATCGAAAGGCGGGTCATGGTCGGAGAAGTCGGTAGTCTCCTGGTCGCACAGGAAGCTCTCAGCGTATCTCAGCTTTCCCCGGGAGCCTGCCCGCCGGGGCCGCTCCTTTCCCACACGTTTACAGGAAGACAAGACACCAGCTCTCCTGGGGGGCGTGTCTGCAGAACCAGGGGACCCGCAGCGGAGAGGAGATAACACACTATCTTCCGAGGAGTCTCTGTGTCTCTTTTCTTTAGCAGGTTTTGTGGGAAAAAGAAAAAACATGTGTCAAACATTTACTGTATCAAGATGGGAAAACATTCCCACAATTCAGTGTTGGCAATGTTGTGGTTGTTATCAAGTGCCGTCGGTCGGTTCCGACTCAGCGCGACCCTGTATAGGATTTCCGAGGTGCGGCTGGTGGATCTGAATCGCAGACCTTGTGGTTCAAACTGACCTTGTGATCAAGTGTTTTATCTTACAGCGCCCCACCAGGACTCCAGTGATGGCAATAAATCCACCAAAACCCAAACCAGCATCCTAGAGCTGATTCCAACTCACAGTGAGCCTAGGTAGTTTCGAGGCTGCTCACCTTCATCAGAGCTGAAGGCCTCATCTGTCTTCAGAGGAGCGGCAGGTGAGTTTAAACTGCTGGTCCTGTGGTCAGTGGTCAACACTAAACCACGACACCACCAGGCTCCAAGAAGCAGTTTGGTTTTGGTCAGTGTGTCTTTTGTTCATTACAGGACTTTGTCAGGAAAACTGGAAAGACAGCCGACAGCTTGGGAGTAAAAATTCTAGAGACCCCTTGTATTTTCTGTTATATGGTTCCTAAAAGTTCACGGAAACACTGCACTATCTGTTCATCTTTTTCACAAAGTGTCTGAAGTCCCTTCGTATACACTATTCTACAACTTTAACAACACGAACACACGGCAATCCGACAAGGGCAAAGGTCCTGGATGTTGTGTGTGGAAAAGAGATTTCACCAAAAACGATATTCACAGGGCTAACAGGCACATGAAATGCTCACCGCACCCACAGGGGACTGTCCCCAGGGCACTGATCTCTGTCTCAGCTGGCTACACATCTTCCTCCCAGAGGGGCTGCTGGACTCCAAGGGCAGAGCTTGGGCTCACAGAGCCACCATGTGTCACTCATTAACAATTAAAGTGTGTGCCAAAACCACAATCAGATGCTACCTCAGCCAGACCAGAATGTAAATGCTTACTTAGAAAAGGTCCACAAATGGCTTAGAAAGGCTGTGGAACACTAGAGCCCTCACCCACTGCTGCGTGGCCAATCCACCACTCCTGTCAGTGGGTCCTACAGTGATGCCGGAAGCATGCCACCGGTACTCTACACACCAGCAGGGTCCCCACTGTGAAGGGATTTCAGCTGAGCTTCCAGACAAAGGTTGTCTAGGAAGAAGGGAGGCAGACTGTTTGACTGTTTAGACACTGACGACCTTTGGAATAGCAGTGAAACACAGTCAGATACAGTACAGGAATATGAAAGCATTATGAATCATACTAGAATACTGTCAGATAGAGTGCTGTAAGGTGAGCCCCTCAGGTTGGATTGCACTCAAAATGTGACTGGGGAAGGACTGCCCCTCAAAGCACTGTTAACCATCATGATGCAAATGGAGTCAAGTGTTTAGGACCTTCATTTGCTGATGGGACACACTCATAGTGAAGAGAAACAGCTGTAAACATCTATTAATAATTGGAACTTGAAATGTGTGAAGTATGAATCTAGAAAAATTGGAATCTGTCAAAAGTGAAATGTAATGCACAAAGATCAATATCTTAGGCATTGGTGAGCTGTAACAGTATTGGCTATTCTGAGTTTGACAATCACAGTATGGTACTGTAGGATCAGCACTGGACTGCGAACCACAGGGTCAGCAGTTCAAACCCACCAGCTGTACCTTGGAAACCCTATCCAGGGCCACAGTGAGCTGGAAATGACTTAACAGCAATTAAAATCAACAACAATCACGTGGTTTACTACGCCAGGAACAACAAACTGAAGAGGAATGGTGTCACCTTCATCATCTAAAAGAACAGTTCAATTTCAAAATACACCTTGAAGTACAGCGCTGTCTGTGATAGGCTGATATCCCTGCGCCTACAGGGAACACCACTTAATACAACTACTGTTCAAATTTACGCACCAATCACTAAAGCCAGTGAGGATGAAAATTAAGAATTTTATTAACTTCTTCTGCCTGAAATACATCAAACATGCAGTCAAGATACTTTGATAATCACTGGCGATTTGGAATGCAAAGACTGGAAACAAGGATCAGCAGTTGGAAAATACGGCCTTGGTGATAGAAACAATGCTGAGATCACATGACAGAATTTTGCAAGACCAATGACTTCTTCATTGCAAATACCTTCTTTAACAACATGAAAGGCAACTGAAGACACACATGGACCTCACCAGATGTAATACACAGGAATCACACTGAATACACCTTAGGGAAGGAATGGCAAATAAGACCATGAGAGCAAAACTAAGGCGTTGAACATTTTTGCTTGTTCTTAAGTGCCGTCAAGTTAGTTTTGACTCATAGCAACCCGGTATAGGGTTTTTCAAATAGTGACTGGTGGGTTTGAACCACCGACCTTGCAGTTCAAACATACCTTGAAGTTCAGCACATTAACCCAGGGCACTACACAGATGGTGAAGACGTCACCTACGAGAACAAAAACAAGATATGCAAAAAATATCCAACCTAAATTTAGAGAGTGTCAAGAACAGATTTAATGCTCCATTAGACAAAACGACAAGAAGACTTATGGATGACATCAAGATCATATGGGAAGCAAGCAAAAGGTCACTAAGAAGACAAGAATGAAGGAAAAGACCCAAATGGATGCCAGAACAGACTCTGAAACTTGCTCTTCAATGTACAGATGAAAGAAATAAGGAGGCAAAAGAGCTGAACAGAAAATTTCAAAGGGGAGCTTGAGAACACTGTCAAGTATTAGAAAAAAGAAAATGTACAAAAACCTGGAGTTAGGAAACCAAGACAGAAAAACAGACTCAGCATTCCTGAAACTGAAATAACTAAAAAACTTCAAGGCTCCACTTGCAATATTGAAAGATTCGATGAGCAAATCATCTAAGAAGCTGGATTATGTGAAGAAGAGTGTGGCATCAGGATTAGAGGAAGACTCATTAACAACCTGCAATACGCAGATGATGCAACCTTGCTTGCTTGCTGAAAGTAAAAAGGATTTAAAATACTTACTGATGAAGATCAAAGACCACAACGTTCAGTATAGGTTGCACCTCAGTGTAAAGAAAACAAAAATCTTCACCACTGTACCAATATATATAACATCAAGAAAAATGGAGAACAGATTAAAGTTGTCAAAGACTTCATTTTGCTTGGATCAACACTCATGGAAGCAGCAGTTAAGAAATCAAACAATGTATTGCATTAGGCAAATCAACTGCACAAGACTTCTTCAAAGAGTTCACGAGCAATAATGTCAGTTTGAAGACTAAGGTGCACCTGAACCAAGCCATGGTATTTTCAATAGGTTCATATGCATGTGAAAGGTAGACAATAAATGGGGAAAACTGACAAGAATTGGCGTATTTGAGTTAAGGTGGTGTAGGAGAATATCAAAAGGACCATGGACTTCCAGAAGAACAAACAAATCTTTGACTGAAGAAGTACAACCAGGTGACCAAGCCAGCAAGCCAGGATGGCCAGACTTCATCTCTCCTACTTTGGACATATTATCAGGAGGGACCAGTCCCTGGAGAAGGACACCATACATGGTAAAGTGGAGAGCCAACACATAAGTAGAAAACTCCCAATGAAATGGATGGGCTGGAGAGGCAGCAGCTATGTAGTTAAGCACGGCAACAACTGTGAGGTTCACCCAGGGCCAGGCGGTGTTCTGTTCTGTTGTGCATAGGGGGGCTGTGGTCCACATCAAGGAAATTTAAGGACCACAGCGAGACCACTCAGCAAGCAGAACAGGGGCTGGAGAGTGCTCATGGGAGCCTGGGTGAGGACCATGCCCTTCTGAGAATGCAGACCCAGCAAGCATGCTCAGGCTCCCCTCCACCACCTGCCCCATGTTCGGCAGCACTGCTATGCCAACACTCACTGTCATGCTCCATGCTCCCTCAGCCGCCCCCCCCACTCCCAGGGGCCCACTAGATCCCCACAGTTGCTGTGAGGATACCCTTCCTTAGGAACCCGAAAGCTCACCCCTCCTGTCTAAGGGGCTGTTCCTAAGCATCTCTTTTCTGTCCCCAGACAGTCCCAGTGCCTTTACCTGACAAGTTCCTCCCTGCGGGTTTACATGGCCATGTGTTCAGCTACTAACCACAAGGTTGGCAGTTGAAACCCACCTGGAAGCACCTCACAGGTCTAAAGATCTGCACCTGGCAGGTGTCAGCCTTGAGAGCCCTGTGGAGCACAGCTCTCCTCTTCACATACCGAAGCCATCAGTCAGAATCACATGACAACCAATGGTCTGTGGTTTTGTTTGACTTCATGTATGAATTAAAATGTAAGTCTCCAACACTACCGACTCAGAGGCAGGGCTGGTTTGGCTGGGAGGACATAGAAGCTAAAAGCAAATGAGTATACTCCATCACTTCTTGGAATATTCTAAAAGTTACCGAAATATATATTCAATAGTCCAGTTTTAAAAAGTAACATTTTAACCCCATTGATAATTATAAAGCACTGTGGGAAAATCCCATGTATTTTCTGCCTAGTAAATGGCAAACAAGGGTCAAAATTGAACAATATTATTTTTACATCTCCAATAATTTCCTATCAAACATTTTGATGGTGTACTAAGAGGTCATCCAGATGGAACTGGTAAATTCCATGACAAACAAAGCTCGCCACCGGTGGATCAGTCACACGTGCGGGTGATATAGAGGAAGCTGCGCAGCCTCGAGCCACCTACACGTACCTGGTGTGCATGGTTCCACCGTCTGTCCCTCTGGTGTCCTGGAGCGCTCCTGGACGGACACAGCTGTCAAACAGGAGAAGTCAAATGCACTGACTAACATCAGAAGTCACACGCAGCGGCCAGGCGTTGTGCACAGTAAAGCAACCCTTCAGCTCGGTTCATTCTTTCAATGACAGAATCAGGGGCTACCAAGTTCAAGGGCCCCACACCCACAGTAAGTGCTCCTGATTCTGTTTGTCATTGACAGCAAGCACGTCCCCACCCACAGCCAGGACAAGGGACCTGCCCTCTCTCACCTGACCCCGGCCCTCCCCTGGGCCCCTCTCTCACTTGGCCCCGACCCTGACCTGGGCCTTACTGCAATCTGGGCCCCTCTCTCACCTGGGTCCCACCCTCACCTGGGCTGTGGTCCCGGCCTGCTCCCGGGAGCCCATGGGTTGTGTTGATGCATAGCCAGAGCTCCTTCAAAAGCAACTTGACTTTTCCTGTGAGGAAGAAGGCAGCATGAACATCCTGGAAGGACAGACCGCCCCCACAGGGCCAGGCCCAGCCCTGTAGAGTCCAGATGGGTCAGCACATAGAAACCTCGGTAACCACGCTCCCCACCTTGCCCGGACAGTGCCCTGGACAGTGCCCCAGACAGTGCATACCGCAGCGAGTTACTAAGAGGAAGAGTCGGAAATGCTCCAGGGAAACGAAAGCTAACAATGGGCAGGGAGGCTCCCGACATCAGATCGACCTGCCATCATTTGTACCAACCCCTCTACTCCTTGACTTTAGTTGCATTTCCTGTGAACACAGAGATGGTCGTGGAGTGTCCTCAACCCCACAGTAACCAACCCCTCCGTTCCCTGACGTTAGTTTATTTTCTGGGAACACACAGATGGCCCATGGAGTGTCCTCATCCCAGCGGTAAGTACCCTTTGCACGTCCTTTGATTTTACGTGCATTTCCTGAGAACACTTAACAATGAGATCTGAGACAAAATGCAAACACACCTGAGCTCTGATTTCTGCTCAGAGAAATTTCCATCTATTATTTCCTGATCACCTCCTCTGCCTCCACTAGGAATGAGATTTGTAGGATTAGATGTTCAAACTAACTCACTGCCTCAGTCCTGAACCGAAAAAAAACTCAGAAGAGAATTTAGAAAGACATAGTTTGAACCACACACAAAGACCTTGTGACTGTACCTTCTGAACTCTTACATTTTCTTCGTGGAGAAAATGAGTTCTGCACCATTTTGTACCATGTTCTCAGAAGAGCCCCTCATTTTCTCTCTTGGCTCACTGAAAGAATTGTGCACTGGTCCACCTGCATGTCATCCTTGTACTTGATCTACTTCCCCATCACTGTTACTGTATCAGTACTAACAGCCATGAATCGAATGAAAATTAAGCTTCGCATTTTCCAATCACTGGCAATAGCAGCAACACGAGGAAGTAACGCACAGGATTAAAGCACAAAGTGCACTGTACTCACTTTTATCTATGCTGCTGTACGATTCACTTGAAATTTGTGTTCCAATATGTTTCAACTCTAGAAACAAGGGCATAATGGTTCAGAAACAAAGACAAGCACACTGCCCACCACACCAGTTTTAAAACAAGTGCAAACTGAGGACTCACCCTTTTCATTTTTCTGTTTAGAAAACTCATCAAGTCGTTCCTGATAAAACAAAACATGAAGAATGTTTAGAGGGAAGAAGGCAGGAGCCTGGTGGTGCCGTGGTGAAGCCTCAGCTACCAATGATTCGTGCGGCAGACTGAGACTACCAGGTGCTCCACGAGAGAGAACCATGCCAGCCCTGGACGCTTGAGGGGCAGCTCTACCCTGTCTTGAAGGGTCACGATGAGTCAGAAGGGGATCGAGGGCCGGGGGTTTGTCACACATGAAGTGCAGCCATTCTGGACCGAACATAAGCAGACAATGTAAGAGTCAACGGTGCCAGCATCACCAAGTTCCTCTCGAGAGGCAGGGAGCTGGGGACCCGCTGCTTTCTCTCTTACCTGCGTCTTCTTGTACTCCTTCTCCAGAACTTTCTTTTCATTTCTCAGTTGCTTGAAGTCCTGGATTTGCTTAAAAGCAGCCTCTTCATTCAGGAGCACAAGGAAGGAACAGAGAACAGTAATTTACCAACTGGATGACGGCCCTTAATGAACCACCCAGTACCCACTATACTGAGAGCTCATTTCTTGAGCTTTGAAACACGAGTCGGACAAAGTTCCTGCTGCTTCAATGAGCTGTCAGCACGGCGGGGCACAGGGACGCTTTATCTTTAAGGCAGAGAAGTGGCAGCAGAGACACAGGCATACCAGGCCACAGACAAGGCGGCCACACAAAGGTCCTCACGGAGGGGAATGCCAAGTCTCCTTGCTCACCTCAGTCATGTCACCAGAAGCTCTTGTTGTTGTTAGGCGCCGTGGAGTCGGTTCTGACTCATAACGACCCTCTATAATGTTTCTGAGGAGCGGCTGGTGAATGTGAACCACTGATCTTAGAGTTCACAAAAGCTTGTGGTCCAGCACATTAACCTGCAGTGTCACACCAGGACTCTTCAGAGAACTAGAATTCTGAGACTATTGGTGGAACCATTCTCCTTATTCGGGGGACAAGAGCACCTTCTCTGCTGACTGTAAGCACTGCTACTCCTTCCTGGACCGCCTCGCCTCAGTTAGCTAACCCCGGTCCTCGTGTCATACATTCTGAAGGCAGTGTAAAGGGCCCTCGACAGTGTCTCTTTCTGGGGCTCCGAAGCACCAAACCCCTCAGGAGATGTAGAGAATGTGACCAGTGCTCACACTGACTTCCTGCCGTGACACAGGCCATGAACACCGGAGAATGAGCCCTCTCCAGATTTCTCTCCACCATGCATGTGTCTCCCCGGGCCCTATGGTGGGAGCTTGTGTGTGGCTGTGGCTGTGGCTGGGATGCGGGAAGCTATGCCGGCAGTGTTGACAGGTCCCAGCAGAGCTTCCAGGCTCCGAGAGTCTGGGAAGGAGGAGAGGCAATGCCATTGACTAGCAAGGGACACTGTCTGATACGGCGGCAGAAGGTGGAAACATGAACAGCTCCGGGACACTGTCAAATGCAGTGCTGAAAGATGAGTCCTTCAGATTGGAAGGAAGTCAGAATACAAATAGGGAAGAGCTGTCTCTTCAAAATAGACTGGACCTTACCCATGTGGATGGAGACTAACAATCAGGACACATTGGCTTACGGGGGAAAATACTGCTGCTAAATGGAAAACAAAGCTGTCTTCTGAGTGCTACAAAGTCGGTCCTACAAACTGCACATCAGGGCTAAGACTGTGTCCTTACACCTAACTCCTCACCAGACCAGAACTCTCAGTGTCTGTCTATGTACCGACGATTAAACTCAGTCACACACCATCTATGCAAAGATCACTACACTTGCAGGTACCATCTGTCTAAAGACCCCTAAAGCTCACAGGTAAACACAATCCAGGTAACACGATCACTAAACTCGCAGTCAACACAGTATCTAGGTACACAACCGCTAAACTCAGTTATACACCATCTGTGCAACAATCACTAAAAGATTACACACCATCTACGTAATGAGTGCTAAACTCAACAGCCAACACAGTATCTATGTAACATGACTGCTAAACTCAGTCACACACCACCTATGCAAAGATCACTACATTTATTGTTACAGACCCTATGCAGAATGACTCCTAAACTCACAGGTGCACACCGTCTATGTAACAGTCACTAA